TTGTAGCAAACCCCAAATGCGGGACCACTTAGCTCTATTGTCTTGTGATTAAAGCTTCTAAAAGGATGAATCTAAAAGTAGAATCCATATAATACCAAAAAAATCATTCGTCCATAATTATGTGTTTTACATTGCATATAATTATGTGTTGATTCACATTACTCATTTTAAATGCCTTGCCTTCTGGACATGGTTTCATAACTGTGCACATTTATTGTATGCAAATCAACATCTAGAATGGCCTTAAGATGTATGCGTACAGGTGAATGACTACATGGCAGGAATAAAGGAGAAATATTATGGAAACTGCTGGCAGTTTAGAACCCTGCATTTGTATCACTTCAAAATGATTTCTTGTGTATCATCTCATTCCCAGCCCAGTTACAAGCCCACAAACTAAATTAATAAATGCCATGAGTCAGAGTATGCATTTAGGAATAAGTTAGACACTTTTACATAACAAATTCATCTATGTAGCTACATGAAGTTTATATAAACAGTTACATATCATAGGTTGGATATCCAAAGTGTCTCTGGATTCTGTCCACTTCTCACTTTCCCACCATGTGGGAAGTTTCGACCTCTTCATCCCTTGTCTACACTTCTCCTCCTCTCCAATCTATCCCACACACATACTGCCCTCAGCATCCTCTATCTAAATAAACACAGATCTAGTTACATCCCCCCACTGCTTAAAAATACACCACACCTTCCCACTCTCCACCTAACAGTTCACCAAGCGTCCTGTTAGATAGCTAGAACAGACCACAGCAGGTAAAACAATCCCTTTGAAAATATATGCTTTCTCCTTAAAATGTATGCATCTTTTTTTTTTTTTTCATTCTAACCTATAATGTATACTTGCTGGATTTAATACCAGTATCACGGTTTGGATTGTTCCCATTTCTAGGAAAATTTGCTATGGCAAGCTGATCTTTCAGCCTCACAAATCCCCTGGCACACTGCCTCCTCATGCTCTCAGAGATACCCAGGCCAGGGCAAAACCACAACTCTGCAGAAACACTCAAGACACCTCACGCTCTGTTCCCCTCCTGTCTCTGAACTCAATGCACATATCCTCCCAAAAAATAATCCTATCCTGCATTTTGTAAAGTGCATTTCTAGAAACTAATTCTTACCAGAAAAGTCTGTAAAGAAAAATTACTTTGGTCAATACTATACCCCTCTTTTAGAAATTCTCAATAAACACAAGAACACTCAATATTCTAAGAAGTCTTGCGGTAAAACCTGTAGCCACGAATAACTGAGAGCCAGTGTTTCTTAGAACCTACCTTGCTGAAGTTGTCCTGTCCTCCAGCAAACTCTTCTCATCCTGCCCTCATCACCTGGAGAGTCATTCCTACTTTCTCCAACTGGCAAATTCCTACTCAATTTTAGAAATCTGACTACCTCCGCTTTATTTATTTATTTATTATTTATTTCCAGCCACCCTCGCTGGAAATAAATGTTTTCTATGTGTATTTGTAGCACTTTGTACAGGCATGTATGTTAAATTACACATGTGGTAATCTTGGATCCACACGTCAGTCTCCTTAGCCTGACTGTGAGTTTTAAAAGTAGAAACCATTCTTTATTCATTTATGAATCCCCAGAACTAGCAAAGTTCACAAAACAAGCTCAGTAAATATGTGTGGAATAAATTGGTGAAATAGAAATGATCTTTCATGAAAATAAAATATGCAACATCATATGCCATTTCCCTGTCACTCGAGCCAGGAAATCTCTGCTGGCAAAAAGGGGAACAATAAGAACACTTGGAGGGTGGGGTAATGATGTCTAGAACAGCCCAGTCAGAGTAAGTAAATGACCCCTATTACAAAATTTATAAAGAGAATCTCACGCTGGTCAAGACTATCACATGAATCCCTTATGAGAGCCACTGTATCTCTGCCCAGGGTGTTAAGATTCCAGCTGGAGCGCCCTGGCTCTGCTTCAAAACCAGGCAGAGCCAAGTCCGAATGGATTACAAATGTTTGCATATTTCATTATTTCTGATATAGAGACTTCCTTTCCACCTAGGATCTCAGAGTAGTTGCACTCAATCAGCTTCAGTTCAGCCCATGCAAATAAATTAAGGTAACTCCTCTGTAAAAGAAAGTTACCCACTCCAAAGGAGGTAAGGGGCAAAGCACTTTAAAGTCAGATGTGGGTTTTCCTTGCAACCCTGCCGCTAACCAATGAGCAACTTTGGGCAAGTGACCATACCTTTCTAGGCATCAACTTCCCAACCTCTGAGTTGAGTAGCTACGTAATTAAGATCAAGCAAACCTTCAGTGAATTACCAGTGAATGTCAACCATTTTTTCTTACTTAATCCTCTTGAAACCCTTGAAGTGGGTATTACTATCCTATTTTACACATGAAGAAACAGGGCTTAGAGAGGTAAAGTAATTTGTTCAAGGCCACACCATGAGCTTGCAGCACTGCCTGCCTGGGGAAACTCAATGGGTTCATAGCTGGATGGCCAGGGAGAGACCAAGGCTTTTTTCCTCCCACCTTCCCATGACCTCAGGCTGCTCATGGCTATCTTCAGGTTTCTCCAACACTGGAATGATGATGATACTCAGTCCTCAAGTTCTTTTTGTTTGGTTGGTTGGTTTTTTTGTTTTTGTTTTTGTTTTATTTATTTGACAGACGGAGATCACAAGTAGGCAGAGAGGCAGGCAGAGAGAGAGGAGGAAGCAGGCTCCCCGCTGAGCAGAGAGCCTGATGCGGGGCTGGATCCCAGGACTCTGAGATCATGACCCGAGCCGAAGGCAGAAGCTTAACCCACTGAGCCACCTAGGCGTCCCAGTCCTCAGTTTTTTGATAGTTTTTAAAATTTCCTAACTTGACACAAGCTTGTGTTTTATTATTTCTTTGTCACATCATGTAACCCTAGCTGACATTTAAATTTCTCATAAGACCTTCGAATCCTTCATTTAAGTTGATTCCTTAAGGATCTCCTAAAGAGATAAAAGCACCCAGAAAGAAGCTTGCAGCTGCACAGGGAGTGATTTTCTCTCCCAAAGAGACTGCCACAGCCTTAGGAGGACTGCTCTGCGTGCTCACTGTTCCTGCTCCTTGGCTAAGCAAGCCTTGTACCCTCACATGCCATCCAGCCAGCACGAGGACCACTCCAGAGAAGCAGCTGTGGCACATAGCCATGGTGAGGCCATCTGGCTAGCTGGAGCCAATCCTGAGCAAGTGGGGTGGGGGAGGGCACCTTTCACCTTCTCAGCCTACCATGCACCACTTGTGAAGTGTGTTAGCTTAGCTGACAGGTCCTCTGCCAGGTGCAGAGGGTGGGGTGGAGAGTGTTGTTTGGTTTGGTGTGTTTTGATGAAAAAGACCATAGTCGTGTGCTAGCTTTGCGATCTCTCAAAGTTGCCTTCACATCTTTAGCTCATCACAGTGACCAATGAAATGTTATCCTGTCTCTTTCACTAACAGGAAAATACAGATTCAGGACACTTACAAAACTTACCAAAGAGCAACCATTCAGAAACTGTGAGAGCCAGAACCCACAGAGGCCCCCAAGTACCTCTTGAAGTAACAGAGAAGCTGCTCTTAAATAAACTACTCCCTCCCCCCAAACAGGCAGAGCCTTGTGGAGCTCCCAAAGCCTCCACACTGGCATTTCTCTGACCTGGCTTCATTCAATCCTAGAGCTTCTTTTTCAGCCTCTCTTCCCCTAACTCCAAATCTACATCCTTTCCCCTCTCCTGAAATCCAAGCTCCGTAAACAGTGATTTTTGTTCTTTGGTAACCTCCAGACGGCACTTGTCTACATCCCTCCTGATAAGTCATCTATGTCGTCACATAATCACTGAATATTTTAAGGATAGTTCTGTCTGTTGGAGGAAGTGCACATTTAACACAGGTATATTATGGAACACGAAGCCATTCATCACGGCAATTCTAGCTACGTTAAGTGATGTAACGTGCATCAGTGTGGTAACGTGGGTCCTCTTTATTTGTATGAATATGAAATATCACCTGTCTTCTTACACCACTTATCTGCACCCCTCTGGTGGATCGTAGCACTTTCTATGTGTAACTGAGGCTATCTGAACACCTCTTTCCCACCACAGTCTTCTCTCCCCCTGAACACCATCGTCCCTGTACCCCAGAACAGAGTCTAATACTTTGTACAAATTAGACACAGAAACCCATTTATAATGAATCAAACACTTTTGTAAAATATTTTGTATTGTATGAAGGATATGTTATGAACTCTGAACATTCAAAACTGTCTTTGAGCAAAAGAAAAGGCAAAAAAAAAAACTTACACACATTATTTAGATTTGTCAACTAAAGTGAGCACTAATAAGTCCACAAAGAAAGAACCCCATGGGGCTGGGAGCAGCTGCCTGACCGACAACTGTATCTCGAGTGCGGAGCCTTGCTCACCATCAGAGCGGGACTGCCAGCACTACTATCACCAGGAAGGGGGGGGAAAAAAAAAAAAAGCCCATTATTGGAATTGGGGCAAAGGGGGCATGTAAATGCTCACAGCTGGCCATCTGGCTGGACAGATTAACCAGCTGCAAAGCCCAAGGCCAAGCCCCTACCCAAAGAGGCTACAACTACAGGCAGCAGTAAAGTCTAAAGATTGCCAAATTGACACGGACAGCATGCTAACACTTACACCATAACGGATACGGCAATGTGACCATTTGGACCCTATTCTTGCTGATTCTGGCTCAGGATGGGGATACGTTCATCCTGAGTTTCAGGCTGAGGGAAGGGTAGGGCTGGAGTACCCACGCACAGGTGGCCGGAGCAGTGGAACATGCTATACCGGGTTCCTTCGGTGGGAGGGGAAACTGAGGCACGAGCAGCGGGCAGGCTCAGGTCAGGGGCAGATTTCTGGCCCTCCTGGCCTTGAGCCAGCTGGCGTGTCCCAAACAAACTACACCTCCTGGCCGCCTGATGCTTCCGCGACCCCTCAGAACCCACGGCGGGGAGAGGACAGCCTTGCGGCCGGGCCGGACTCACCACGTCCATGATCTGCAGGAGACTCAGGGAGAAGTAGACGGTGAGTGGCTGCGAGTCGTTGGCCACGGGCCTCTCCAAAGGGTTGTAGTTCTTGACCAGCTCCTTGTAGAGCTTCCTCTGGAACTCGCCTTGCAGGGACACTTAAGGGAAAGGAGAGCCCGGCGCGCTGTTCAGGGAAGGCCAGCGGGGGTGCGCCCCACGCCCCCTGACTGTGACCCCCGCCGCCTAAAGCAAGCAGCCCAAACGAACCGGGCTCGCCCTTCCCGGGCACCCCCGGTAGCGCCACCCACCGTCCCTCCTCGCGCGAGACCCCAAACCTGGCCCCGGCGCGGGGCGCTCGGAGCCGCCGGAATGCGCCCGGGATCCCGCGGAGGAGAAGTAGAGGGCTGGGAGCCCTGGCGGCTTTACCGTGCAAGAGCGACGCGGCCAGCGCCAGCCAGACCGACCGGCGCATGTTGCGACTCGGAGCTGCCACGGGCCGGCGCGCCCCGCGTCTCGCTTGTCCGCCCGGGCCTGCGCCTGCGGCCGCGGAGCCGCCTCTCCCGGCTCCGCTCGCGCGCCTTTAAAGAGCCGAGCGCGCGCCCCCGCCCCGCCCGCCTCCGCGCGCTTCTCCACGTGATGAGCCCCGCCCCCGCCCCCACCCCAGCCAGTCCGCGGGGGCCTGGGAGGTTCGGTGGCTGCCCGGGGAACTGCAGCCCGCGGGTGCAAGTGGGAAGTGCATCCCGGCGCTGGTTACAGTGTGGGCACCCCGCTCAGCCTCTGTCGCCTCCGCATCACGCCTCCAGCCAAGCCGGGGGCTATCCAGGGTCAGCGCTGTCTCTCCTTCTGTCCTTGGTCCCTACTCCGCTCCCTCCTGCGCTCAGACAGAAGCTACACGGGGTCCTTGGGAGAGAGCGGGACAATTCTGGGGTGCAGTCCTCCAGGGTCCTCCCTCCCTTACGCCAGTGGTTAGGTGTCAGCGACTGGGAACCTGGCTTCCACAGGTTGGGAAGTCTCTCCAACCTGACAAAACAGACCTGGAAGGAAGTCCCCTCCTAACCCGGCCCTGGTATTCTGTCAGGAACCATTTGCTGGGCATCACCAGCCAGATTCTCATTTAGGTTCTGGAAGTGCTGAAAGGAGAGGGGAAATCTCTGCCTGGGAGACATTCTAAAGGGGAGGAGAAAAGCTGCAAAAGTGTGTGATGGGATTCCCAGTGGGCATCTTCTTTATGTCTCATTCTCTTTCAAAGGAGATTTAAAAGATTGAAGTTCCTCCCCCAACCCCTTTCTGGAAAGCTAGCCAAAACTTGGTGGTGTAATCTAGACTTTTTTTTTTTTTTTAAACCTGGGAGATAGTTAATTGGCAAGGGGAGGCTGGGTGGGGGGGACACAAAACGCCAAGGACTAAGCCGAGTCCTCGATGTTAAAGAGGCGGTATGGTTTTGGATGAGCAAGGGAGTGAAGGTATTGAAGAGGGGTTTCTACAGAGGCAGAGAGCCCTGCCCCATTTGCTCTCAGCAGGCAGGTCGCAGAGAACTGAGTGCAGCAGGTTCCCTGCGCTCAGGTAGGGGGCGTTGCCCCTTGCCTTGGTTCAAGCCCCAGAGCTTTTTTTTTTTTTTTTTTTTTGCCCTTTTTTTTTGCCCTTTTTTTTTTCAGCATAACAATATTCATTGTTTTTGCACCACACCCAGTGCTCCATGCAATCCGTGCCCTCTACAATACCCACCACCTGGTTCCCCCAACCTCCCACCCCCTGCCCCTTCAAAACCCTCAGGTTGTTTTTCAGAGTCCATAGTCTCTCATGGTTCACCTCCCCTTCCAATTTCCCTCAACTCCCTTCTCCCCTCCATCTCCCCTTGTCCTCCATGCTATTTGTTATGCTCCACAAATAAGTGAAACCATATGATAATTGACTCTCTCTGCTTGACTTATTTCACTCAGCATAATCTCTTCCAGTCCCGTCCAGTCCATGTTGCTACAAAAATTGGGTATTCATCCTTTCTGATGGAGGCATAATACTCCATAGTGTATATGGACCACATCTTCCTTATCCATTCGTCTGTTGAAGGGCACCTTGGTTCTTTCCACAGTTTGGCGACCGTGGCCATTGCTGCTATAAACATTGGGGTACGGATGGCCCTTCTTTTCACTACATCTGTATCTTTGGGGTAAATACCCAGTAGTGCAATGGCAGGGTCATAGGGAAGCTCTATTTTTAATTTCTTGAGGAATCTCCACAATGTTCTCCAAAGAGGCTGCACCAACTTGCATTCCCACCAACAGTGTAAGAGGGTTCCCCTTTCTCCACATCCCCTCCAACACACGTTGTTTCCTGTCTTGCTAATTTTGGCCATTCTAACTGGTGTAAGGTGATATCTCAATGTGGTTTTAATTTGAATACTTCTTTCAAGGTATGTCTCCAAAGGCAAAGGAAACAAAAGCAAAAATAAACTTTTGGGACTTCATCAAAATCAAAAGCTTCTGCACAGCAAAGGAAACAGTCAACAAAACAAAGAGGCAATCCATGGAATGGGAGGAGATATTTGCAAATGACAGTACAGACAAAAGGTTGATATCCAGGATCTATAAAGAACTTCTCAAACTCAACATACACAAAACAGACAATCATATCAAAAAATGGGCAGAAGATATGAACAGACACTTCTCCAATGAAGACATACAAATGGCTATCAGACACATGAAAAAATGTTCATCATCACAAGCCCCAGAGCTTTTGAACCAAATCCAGAGCTCAGGCACTGTGGACCAGCCTAGGCAATGCCCACATTTCTGAGCTGCATAAGACACGGGATTCTTGGATGACATTAAAAACCAGAGAAAGGCTCACCAAAACGTAACTACCCTAGAATATATCCAGCAGCAGGAATGGGCGACCAAGCCAGTTATTTGATTTGGAAAAAGAAAGAAATGTGACAGCCTTGCAAGAAGTGTCTGATAGCAAATTCACACCTGTTAACTGACATATGTATAAACAAATAATCAGTGAGGCTTTGATTAACTGCAATAGGGTCCTCGCGGAAGAAAAGATTCATTCTTTCTGGAGAAGTGTTGGTGGAAATGACAAGGAACCTGGGCTTGCCACAGAGGAGGTATTCAGCCAGAAGATGGGAACACCAGGACAGAGCTTCCTGGTAAGCAAGCAAGTGTGCTCTTAGCTTCAATCAGTTATGAAATTTGCGGCCCTCTGGATACCCATAGACCTGGCACCAGTGAAGAAATGAACTAAAGTGAGTTGGGGGAAATCGGAAGGGGAGAGGAACCATGAGAGACTGTGGACTCAGAAAAAAAAGGAGGGTTTTGGAGGGGGTGGGGTGTGGTGAGTAAGCCTGGTGGTGGGTATTAAGGAGGGCACCTATTGCATGGAGCACTGGGTGTGGTGCATAAACAATGAATTTTGGAATACTGAAAAAATAAATAAAATAAAATGAAGGTTTACAGCCACTGGCAAAAAGGAATAAGAGAAGGAAAATAAAACAACAGAATAGAAGGGTCATAAGAGGTATCAACGGGAAGATTCTCACTGGCACCCCATCTCCACTGGTCCTGTGAATGCAGCACTGGCTCTCAAACACATTTCCTCAAAGTGTCTAAAAGCCCTGCCTTCCATTCTAGAGGGGCCAAGGGAATTCATGTGCCTTGAGTTTGATCACTGGGATCACTTTCCTAAAAGCTTAACTACTTCCTTACATCCCTTGTGCCCATAATATCAGAAACCTAGAAATAAACTATTTTCCAGTGGGAAAGCCAGTCAATAAGTTTTCTTTATGCCCTGTGCTCTGTCTGCTAGGTGTCTGGAGGAACTGCTAGCACAATCCACTCACTCAGTTTACAGTTTAGAGCTGACCTGAGTTTGGAAAAATAAATTCCAGTATGTGCTATGCCATTAAGTAGGTCTGTGAGTTTGGCTACGCTCCCTCCCTGTATGGGACTATGTTTTTTCATTTGTAAAATAAAGAAAGTAGTAGGACATTCTGGAAGTTGAGCTGACAGAGCCACAGGTCCCCATCTCACTCCTATTCCCAACATGAATGGGAAATAAAACTTAAGAGTAGATTAATACATACTTGAGCTTAGAAAAGCAGGGACCGGAAATAAATCCAGAGTAGTTACTCACAAGCTGGTGCTGTTGTGATAGTCCAGGGGCAGGGCACATCTGGACATGAGCTCCAAAGATGAGAGTCTGAAATTTTAACATACCCCAGTGAAGCAAGCTGGCCTTGAGTCTGTGAGAGGTGGGGGATTAAAATGAAGATATCCACATAAATCTGGAGTCTGGAAAAATCTCCCCTTCCATGTAAAAGAGATTAGTAGGAACCCCAACCATGACCAAGGATAATGGGAGGAAGCATGTTTTCTGCTCTGACTCTGGATAGGAGGGAAAAGGTAACTAAAACCCAAAAATACGCAGTGCTTAAATATGTGTCCAAATGTTTAATACATGGCTTAGAATTCAAGAATTCCTCTGGAGTAAAACTTCTATAACTTCACATACATGGGTCTCAAAAAAATTATGACTTTCATGAAAATGAACTCAAACTAAAAAAATGTATAAAATCTACAGAGAAATAAACTACATGCCCTATGAGGCAATAGTCAATAGTAAGGGAAAATACACAGGCAGAAAGAATAGAAAAAAAAAAAAATAGTACTCCGCAAATTGAAATAATAGGATGATCTGGGGGAAAAGAAACCTATAAAATAAGTATGTTTAAAATGCCAAAGTTTTTGATCCTGGTGAGTAATATCAGCTACAGTAATAAACCACAAATCCTATTAGCATAACACTATAAAGTTAATTGCTCCCTCATATCATAATCAAAAAGTTCCAGTGACTTTCCTAGGTGTCTAAGCTCCTCAGATCTTTCAGAGATACAAGATCCTTTCAGCAACTGGATTGACTGTGTTTTGAGGACCAGAGGAGTGTGCTAACTGAAGTTTCTGCTGGAGCCTCAACATTTACACAGCTTGCAAACAAGTAGGAGTGTACCAGGGCCAGGTCTAGAAGTTGCTTGTAGTATTTCTGTCTACATTCCTTTGGCTGGAGTCACTGATCACAACCTCAGGCAAGGGAAACTAGAAAACAGTCTTCTTACCTGGGCCTGAGAAGAGAAAAAGGTAAGCAGTGTTAGGAACATAATATACAAGGAATAAATTAAGAATTATTGGTATAGGGAGAGAACAAAGCACAAAGGAATAGAAATAAACAGAAAATAAAATATGAACACCTAGAAAAAAAAACCCATAACTATTAAAATTGAAAATCTATGTTAAAGAGGAGACTGGCTAATGATGAAGAGAGCATTGGTACTCTGGGAGCAAGAGCTGAAAAAAAGTACCCAAGAAATCACCCAGATAAGAACGGTTAAGGGATGAGAAGGATAGAATAAGAGGTCACCTAATAGGAGTCCTAGAAAATATTGATAAGAATAGGTGAGAAATTATTTAAAGAGAA